TTCTACAGTATGTAAAGAAGGAAGATTTTATGTGTTGTGTTTGTTTTGAAAATAAAAATAAATTCTATTTTTTTTTAAAAAAGATTGGCTGCAAATAACTCTAGGACCCATAATGCTGCTCTGGTCCATGAATGAACCTTGCACATGTGCCTAGAGAGGCAACGTAGTAAGATTGTGGAGTGGAAGTACAATAGTCCTTTCTTGACAACAGTAACTGGGAACAGAATTCCGGTCGCTAAGTGACACGGCCACAAAAACACGTCATCGTAAGACCATACCAACTTATGATGACAGTTCCTTCACTTCTAGTTGCCATCATTAAATAATTCATACAACGGTGCCGACTGTGAAGGTTGCAAACAGAGATCACATGAGCACAGGATGCTGCAAGAATGTGATTCCTCCAAGCCAGTTGTTGAGCAGTCAGATCACAATCACATGAGTGTGGTGATGCTGTTAGCGGTTGCAGCTAGGAGGACCAGTCATAAGCAATACTTGTTCGGTTGCCAAATTAGTGGCCATTAAATAAGGAATTTATTTTTGTTTCTCAGCTTGGACAGCAAATTAGAGAGAGGAAGAAGGTTGGAGTGTGACCACTTTTGCCCACCCACATGGCTTCTGTTTCCTCTTCATTACCTTGGGTGAGGTTTTGGTGGTGGGCTTTTCCACCGCTGATGGTGAAGGGTCAGGAGAAAGAGATCTGTTGGTCTGTAGGGAGGCAGCAGCATAACTGGGGGAAGGCTGGTCATTCTGAGATGCTACAAGAATAATAATTATTATCATCATCATCATCAGTTTCTAGTCTCAATGTGGATAGCCATACATGCAGAAAATCCTGCGAACGCCAAAGGGCAGATAAAGCGTTAGAATGGACACTTTCAGCTGAAAAACCAGTTTCATCATCAAAAGCAACCAAACGAAGAAAGTAACAGACCTCATTTTATAAAAGAAACACGTATTTAATTTTACATGTGCTAACAGCAGCACGAATTGCGTATTCACAAAATTGAAAAAAATGAAAATATACCTACAGAGGAAAACGTAATAAAGAAAATATTAGAATGTGCTGAAACGGATAGATTAATGTTGAAAATTAAGGATAAGGAGGCAACAGAATACTTTTTAATTTGGGCATTATTCTATCAATGGTTAGAACATAGAAGCAGATGTTAGAAATTTAAAATCAAGGAGGATATGTAAATAAAAATGAAATAAATGTGTAATTAATGAATATTGAATAATTGGGATAAGTAAACATGAGTAACAGACTTGGAGGATAATGGTTACAAATATGACATTTGTAAGGTTTGATATTATTAACTATTATCGACAAAACTGAACAGAGTGTTTAATTAAATAACAGAAAATGTTTAACAAGGATAAGTGAAGATCATGGTGAATAGACTTTGAGAATAATGGTTGCAACTATTATGTGTATAAGGTTTATTATTCTGTATTTAAAAGAGATTGTATCCTGACAGTACACTGCCATTATTGCATATGGAAATGTTATAGATAACAAAGGAAATTGCATAATAAAAAATAATAAAATTGCATAATTAAAAAATAAGCTCTCACTTTATCAGATTCTATTTGATAAAAGCAATTAGTATTGATAGAACATTGCAAGGGCAAAATCTCATATATCAACCTCTAAGTCACAACAGAGAAAGACTACGGCCTCCTGTTGGCTGAATGATAAATAATAAATGTGATCTCTGATGACTATTAGGTAGGGGGGGCGGGAAAAACTTGTGAGAATTACCTTTAGGAGGGGAGACCAGGGGTTTACTGGCACGGCTGAAAAAGAGAGCACCAGGTTTCAGAGAGATGGAATTGCTGTCGTCCTCCTTCACTTTAAACTGGCCCAATTTGGTGACCTTCTGATGCAGGTGGAACAAAAAGAGAACAAGATACTCAGATTTTAAAGAAGTGGGGTAAAATACAGGACCCCAGATGTTGGAAAGGATCACGTAATTCAAGGTGATGCTCACCGGTGAAGCCGCTTTGGAATGTGTTTCGCTGCTGTCCGGAGGAGAATGGAACTTCACGAAGGAAAGGCCATAAGCCAGAGACTGAAGAAAGAAGTTAAGAGGATTCAGATTTGGGCAAATCAGGCAGCCATAAGCAATTGTCATTCTAAAGACAGACCACATTCTCTACGGAGGTGGGACACAAACCAGCTTTATAACAGAAGGCAGATAAATCTACGAGTAGCTAATCAATGTTAGAAACAAACAAGACTAGCATTACTACAGCCTTCTCGGGGGACATACGCAAGGATGGAGAGTTCAGCTTCTACAAGTCCCAGCTCCAAAGAAATCTGAAATCTGGAAAGTTCCCTGGCGGGCTTAGGGCTTAGCCAACAGAAAGGGCTTAGCCAATTGAGAGCTTGCAATTTTCTCTTCCTATCATCCCTTAGGGCAGGTGTCAAACTCCATCCCATTGCTGCCATATCAAGATGTTGTTTGACCTCGGGAGCCGGGGTGGGCGTGGCCTGGTCATCACGGCTGTGTGGGCGTGTCCAGGGCAGCATGGGCCGGTCCCTCGCTGTCTCAAAAGATGGCCCCGCGGGATGACTCTGGGTCTATCGCAGGCCAGATCCTGCCTGGGGGCTGCATGTTTGACACATCTGCCTTAGAGATAATTTTAATATAAATGGCTAATAACTGTTACTTTTTTTTATGCTAGAGTTTAAGTGCTCTTTTGAGAGAAGTTACCCCATTAGTAAAGTTGCGATTCAATGTTTATAAACTTGGGAATCAGTCTCACTGAAGCCAACGAGCTTTATTTCTGAGTAAACATTCACAAAATAAGGCTATAAAAACTACTTAATTTTAACTCGTCCAGCTATCTATAGACCTTCATTTAGAAAAGGCATAATTGTGAACATCCAGGTGAATACCCAGAAATTTGGGGTCCCATTTAGAAGGAATTCATATTTACAACTTCTGTTTGCCAGGTAATCGTCAAAACTGCCCGAGATCAACTTTTTTCCTCATATACAAAATGATGACTCTCTCATCTTTGAAAGGCAGTTATAAGGAGGCATGGGACCCATTTGATAAATACTAAACAGAAGAGTTGCTAAACTACCAGCTCCTTATCTAGACTCTGAGGAAGAAATAAATGCAGGAGTCCAAGGCAGACTCCTGCCAGCATCCCATCTGTTTTGTTTTCCAAAAATATAAACCTTGGTATATGGCTGGGTGCAAACAATCTTAACTCGGTCCCACTTCTTCTCAGCTGTAGCCTTCACCAGTTTATCTGGCCCAAACATTCGGACTCTGTTCAGGTTGGTGCTAGTCTTGCTCTCTGAGGGAGACATGAAGGAGGATGTGACCAACAGCACCTGGGGTGGAATGGAAAGGACTACAGTGGAGATCGAGAGACTCAGCTTTTTTTCAAAACACATCGCTCAACTAAATTCCAGTCTTAATCCAGAAGGCCTCCCCAAACTGCTTTGAGAGCAAAGCAACAGAACATCAAATCAGAATTGGGGCTCTTGAGGGAAAGTCACACACAGGAAGAATCACGACACGGAAAAATTAACACAGGGGGAAAGCAAGGTCCCCTCTTGTGCCTCTAGTGCAGGGGTGTCAAACTCGCGACAACATGTTGCCGACACATGACGTATCGCAGCTTCCCCCCCACTTTGCTAAAATGGGGGTAGGCATCCAGCCCGTGGGCCACACGTTTAACACCACTGCTCTAGTCTTTTGCCTAAACTGCTAAGCAGTCAGCCTGTGTGAAGCTCCCCCCCCCACACACCTGTATTCAAATGATGTTTGGTTTACATTGCTGGAATTCTACCATTTGTGACGGTACATATTCAAATGGAACAAAGGAAATATGGTAACACCAAACCCCCTTCACTGAAGACTCACGAACAAACGGAAAACACAATTTCCATGCTGTGATGGCAACTTTCAGACAACACCAAATTCACTCACCTCATAATTCTGCTCACTGGAGGAGGCAGAGCTACCAGCCAGCACTTCCACAAAGGCGGAGCCTTCATTGCCAATATCAATGCTGTGAATCTGCTCCTCTTTTTCAAACTGTGAGGGAAGGACAGTAAGAGAATTGTGGAAAATGCAGGAAAGGAATTCTAACAACTAGATATTGGTTTAACCCAGGGGTGTCCAAACTTGGGAACTTTTAAGACTTGTGGACTTCAACTCCCAGAATTCCCCAGCTGGGGAATTCTGAGAATTGAAGTCCACAAATCTTAAAGTTCCCAAGTTTGGACACCCCTGGGTTAACCAAACATGTCCCAACCATGTATGTGAGCTACGCTAACAGCAAATAAAATTACCCTATGCTAAATCAGGACCAAACTCATTAGTATCCAATTTGACTGACAGCAATTATTTAAGACAGCAAGGTTTTCCTCTTCCAGCTGCAGCTTTTGCTAAGATCTTAACAGTGGGCTAATTTTGAAGAGACTGGTAGATGGCTGAGCATCCAGTAATGCCCTGCAGAACCACGGTTAACTAAATAAGGGAATTATGAAGAAATTCCTAATGCTACCTGAAAAGCATTTATTTCTATTATATACATATATATGTGAGTGGTATGGTAACCTAGAGGGGGAGCTCTTGTCTCACAATCAGGAGGCTGTGTGTTCAATCCTAGATAGAGGCAGATATTTCTCTCTCTCTGGGCACACTGAGAATATGTCTGCTGAACAAAATTCCACATTGTCGACAGGAAAGGCATCTGGCCATTAAAACACTCTGTTAGTTCCATTCAGTTGCTCAGACTCCACCCCACAAGGGATTATGTTGTTGTTAAATGGA